AGAGAAAATAAAAGGAAAAAAAATATTTCTTTCAATTTTACAACATCAATAATATGAGCTATTGCAAAGGATAATCAATGGAAAAGTACAGGATAAGGGCTAGAACTCCAACTTGTGATGATTGGATTTGCTCGCCTACCCAAGCATCTCACAACAAAATTATTACTGATCACTATATTAATTGCTCTTGACCAAAAATCAGAAAACCTCCAGTTTATAAATCTAACCAAGGATTTTCTCCAATATTTTAACACTTTCTTTTCCAATACATAGTAATTACATTTTGAGATTGACAAATTTCCTTTCAAAAAAAGAGGAGGGGGGGGTTAATGCAGCCATTCATTATGAGTGACTGCCTAAAAAAACATGGATAATCTTTGTCATTCTCTCATGGAACTCATCTTAAGAAAGTGTCTGTTCAGGGATGTATATGAGTGGCGCAGGAGAAGTCCACTGTGATAGACTGCATGTATAGCCCCAGGCACTCTACCTGAGGAGGTGAGATATCACTCTCAGAGGGAGTCTGTGGGGTGGAGGCCACACTCAGCTGGCCTCGAATCAGCTCCAGCTGTTCCTCTTGGTCAGCAAAGTGAAGCTCGGCAGTGGAGTGGCAGATCCGAGAGAACTCTACCCACACACACACAGAGAGGGTGAAATGTGTAAAAACATACCACAGGTAATACCATGACGCACCATGTTTGAGGCCACTGTAGGAGTTGACTCGGTTGTCTACCAGTAGCACCAGGCCGCGCAGATGGTGGGAGTACAGGGAGATGTCAGTCTGGAGTCTCCGAGCCATTGGCCCCACTTCCACTCCCCCACTGTGGAAAACAACTTTTTTTGTCTCTTTTTTTCAATATTTTGTAACATATCGAATAGATTTCCAAATTTTGTTAGCTTAAATAGCAAAATTTCTTGTGGATCATCTACTGGCCCTTTTGAAAACATGTAAATTCAAATTTTAAAAAATGCCACCACACCTGGTTGGCAAATCCAGGAAGTCCACCTTGGTTTAAAACTGTGACCCTTGTAAGTCCATAGGACTGAATCAGAGCAAGGCACCTATCAACCTATAGATTCCCAAGGCACCTATCCTACCAAAGAATGAGAAACTACCATAAGTATATATAACTTACTTGACTTCCTTCACTCTGTACTTGCAGAGGTCCAGTACATCAGCTGCCAGTACCCTCAGGTTGCACATGGACTTCAGTTGAGACCCTGGAACATTCATTTAGTTTACATTGCTGAAGAAGGTAATAAATCATCTTTCCCCCAAACCAATTCAATGTTTCAGGCATAATTATTTAAGAGCACACAGTTTTATGAGAAGCACCTTCTAACATTTAAAAAAAATATTTGATGGTTAATTTGATTTGGGTAACATCCATGTTGATATTTGGCAAGAGACATCTGAGAAACATTTGTGACAAAGTTGACTGTGTGTCAAGGATCTCACCCAAGTGGATGGTGAAACTCTCCTCCATCTGGATGATATTGGGCTCCTCCTCTTCCCCCGCCAGCAGGCTGCAGTCTGAGGTCAGCTCTGGGAAGGCCTTCCTGTCACACCAGACCACTGTGAACTCTCGATTTTGTTTGTCAATTATTTTATTTGGTAATCAATACAGCTGTCTTCCAATCATCAAACCATAGCAGTTTCCCATACTCCTCCACAGATGTAGGCATTTTACAGAACCTTTGTTCATCTAACATCTACAAAATAGCAACTTGGCAAAACTTCTAAGTTCTACATTTCTAATTAATAGACAAACCTCTTTATTCCAACATCCCAAGGGAAAGGTCTCTTCTTCTTCTTCTTTCTTATCTCCACTCAATCACATTAGGGTATCAAGTTGTGACCCTTGATGGTGTCTGTTTGACAACCACCATGACTGGGTGAAGTAAAATACGTCTGCCTTTGTCATTAAGACTGGGAGCACTACTCAGTGGCAGGCCGACTTAGCTCCAAAAAAATGGCCGCCTCTGACATGAGGAACAGACGCCATGTGCAGCCGCTCCTAACATGGAGTACAAACGCTGCTCATCCTGTATCCCTGGATTAGGAGCCCTTACAGGGTACTATCAGCCGGGCCAGCTGAACCCAGGTTTTTTTAGCGAGCTTGTTACTGCTCCCCCTTCTAATCCATTTGTTTGTAAAACCAATTGGATAATCAGATTGTTCTAGTTCTTCTCTAATTTTCATTATCTCTTTTTTTATAAATATCTCGGTCTGTGCATACTTGTTTGGCTCTTTGTACAAGAGATTTTATCACCTGTCTTTTATGTATTATAGGATTATTGGAATTGAAATTTAGATGTATCCCACAGTCTGTTGGCTTTCTGAAAACGCTGGTTATAATACAACCATCTACTTTGCGAGTTAGTCCTACATCTAAGAATGATAAAAATCCTTCTTTTTCTATCTCACCGTGAATTCAATTCCTCTTTCTAAATTATTCAATGTGACCATGATTTCATTAAGATTTTATTTGCGGATCACTGGGAAAAAATTATCTATATATCGTCCCCAGACCTTTATTCCCTCAATCAAGATTGCCTTTTTATCTACTGATGCCATTACGATGTCAGCAATGATCATGTTTGTAGGGCAACACGTAGCAGTGCCGTTTTTTTGTCTGTAAAATTTATACCATAACTAAAGTGAATATTATATAAACATAACCTAAAGCCTCCTATCATTTCGTTGATTTCTAATCCCTTGTTTACGCAATCTTGTCTTTTCACCTCGAAATATTCTTTTAGCTCTTTTAGAGCTAGAGTTCTATTGATATTGGTAAAAAGTGATTTGACATCAAAGAATACCATTGTTTCATGGTCATTTAACCTAAGATTTTTAGCTAATAGCTCTTTCCTATTTCTAATCTCTAACCCGGAAATTTTGCTTGTGCTTGGTACTTGGGTTTTTAAGCCAGTCCACTAATCCTCTGGTGGGGGCATTGAATCCTGACACAATGGGCCGTAGGGGAACTCCTTCCTTGTGGGTCTTTGGAAGTCCTTTGAAGAGAGGTGCGGCAACATCTTCTAACTTAATTTTTCTTTTATTAATGTCCTTATATTTAATGTTTTTAATGAATTTTGATATTTTGAGTTTTATCTTTTTTGTTGGGTCTTCACTATTTTTTTCATATATGTCATCATCGTTGAGAAGGCTCATTATCTTATCATTATAATCCTCTCTCTTCATCACGACTGTCCTGCCTCCTATATCTGCCTTAGTTATAACTATGCTGTCATCATTTTTTAATTTCTGATAGCCTACTATATACTATATACATTTTACTATATATACTACTACCATTGACTTGTGTATGAGGTCAATAAAATATTTTTAAATCTCAAATCTCCCTATTTGAAAAATAAAATTTAGCAATGATTTTGTATCAGGTCAATAAAATAATTTTCAATCTAAATATCGCCCTATTTTTGTGTGAGTGAATAATTTGAGAGAAATATATGAAATAAGCTTACACATAATGAGAGAAATAGATTAGAAACGATTATTTTGATAAAAATTGAAGGATGAAGGAAGAGAGTAAGACCTACAATGAACTTACTAGAAGGGATCAACAAAGCTACTGGAAGGTCACTAGACGATTTGTGAGAGAAGAGGTCAAATTGGAGGATATCTGTCTATATAGTCACCAAAGGTCAAACTCGACTTGATGGATATTAACAACAATAACATGTGAAAATGAAAGGTGGCATTTGAAAAATGAATTGATTCAGAGCTTCATTGAGACTTGGAAATTTTGTCCTGAAAGTTAGTTGATTCAAACAAGACTCACGGGGATGCACAGTTGTTCTTGCAGTCATCATAGACCTTGAGGACCCACTCCCGAAACTCCTGCCTCTGGAGGTTCATCAGGTTCTTGGTCTTGATGTTCCACTCTGAAGTCAGCCTCTGTGCCCTGATGTCAGACACACCATCTTCACTACAAACAGCTCAACTCTTACTTCTTGCTCCTCAAAGTGTTTGTAGGAGAGATAGTTGATGTCCTGTTCTGTGTACTTGGACCCCAGGTTCTGGATGGCATCCTCCATGGTGGCCTCATGGCTGGCATACAAAGCTGTTGGTTCTGGCTAGACGATGGTAGCAAAAACTTACCTGGCTCTTAGCTGAGCCAACTCAGAGTCTTTTTGGCGCACCAGCTGTGCAATGGCTGCAGCATATCCATGTTCTAGCCGCAGCAGGGTGTGAAGTGCAGGAGAGTGGAGGAGTTCATTGTAGCGGGCTCCGAACTGGACATCCTCTTCCTCCTCCCACTTCTGGCTGGCTGGGGAGTGGGCAGCATGGCCCTGCAGCAGCAAGTGGGGTCAGGACCTAGTCACTACTTCTCTAAGTTCTTTTGCTAAATATCACAATCCCCTTCCCTTAACACAATCATACTATTAAAATATTGATGTTCACAATTGCGAGTTTGTATAATAACAATAAAGGTGTGTTACACCACAACTTTAAAAAACTTATTTAAGAGAAATACATGAAGCTTTCAGGCATGACCTTCACCAGTTAAATTTTAAAAAAATAATAAAGAAAAAATAAAGAGACCTATTTTAATAACTTAAACATAATTATAAACTAAAATAGTGAATCAATGATAAGGTTCCATGAAATTTAACGATTTAGAAGTAAGGTTGGTAGAGGAGTGGTATAGACCAATTTTCAACAGCCACTATTGCTTCATTGGCCCCCTGATTCTCTTGCAAATCCAACCCCACCAGTAAGTGCAAGCAACCAAACAGGCCTCAGGCTCCTGGACACTTTTATTTTTCCATTTATCATTACTCTTCACAATTCACCCTTTCATAACTCATCCAAAAGGTTAGAAATAATCGTTATTTCTCCTTGAAATAAATTTTGAATTTTCGTTGAAACACATGCGGGATAATATTTCAAATGTCGTTTTACAATCACAAGCTGCATTATATTATATTGTATTATAAATTACTTTATGTATTATTTACGAATGGAAAAATATGTCCAGGGTAGCCTAGTGGACCTGGCATCTGCCCGGTAAGCAGAACACTGTGGGTTCGATTCCCATACCTGGACACTTTTATTTTTCCGTTTATCATTACTCTTCACAATTCACCCTTTCATACCTCATCCAAAAGGTTAGAAATAATCGTTATTTCTCCTTGATATAAATTTTGAATTTTCGTTGAAAAGAAACACGCGGGATAGTATTTCAAATGTAGTTTTACATTCATAAATATTCCAAAGTCAAACTGCACACGTAGACATAGGGTGCACTTGCAGTAAAAGCAGTCGCCAACTACCTGCTTGCTACTCACCATGATTATCATGGCCATATGTGCTTAGGATAAGAAAAAAAATTCTAGAGAATGTCTATAATAGATACTTTAACATAGATGCATCCCTAGTTGATTTATGTCTAGAGATGCCACCACCACATTAGTTGCACTCCTCTACCCTACATTCTTTTCGTATTTTGAAACTATATATACTTCTTGGAAGGAGTGTTAGATCTATGACAGCATTTTAAATATTTTATACCTAAATAATGTAAAAATTAGAAATCTCTGCACAAATTAGATTCTGATCATTAAACAGTCTCTCCATTCCCGGGGATGTGAGACTGGAGGCAGAGCAAGATATTTTACCTTCCTGAAGCCTTTTAAAGAAAGAAGCCTGATATATATTTATACCACTTCAATGAGACATGACTTTTTGCTTCAGTTCTTCCCTACCATGTGCATGTGCAGCAAGGTGAAATATCTATGCGGCTTAAAGCTCATCCCTTCCTTGATGTTGTCCAGCCATATAACTTTCCATCTTTCAGGTTAGCCTCTATTTTCCCTTGTAAGAGCTGGAATTTGTGATAGCTTCTCATCATATTGACATATTCCCTTTATTTTAAGACCTTGATGTTGACCATTTTATTATCCATCTTATTTTCAGAATATTTATCTATAATGACACACTTGTTGAATGCTTCTATCTTACTTAGGGATGTGTCTTGGTTATTGGGCATATGTTTGAGCTCTGTAAAGTAAAATTGGCAAGACACAGCATTTTGATGTCTTCTTTTTTCTTATCTCCACTCAATCATATTAGAGTATCAAGCTTGTAGATCTTGATATGGGGTCTGCTGGGGTGAGTAGTAGAGCTCATCAAAGGAGATTTAACAACCATCATGATTAGGTGAAGTAAAATGTGTCTGCTTTTGTCATTAAGACTGGGAGCACTATTCAGTAACAGGCCGACTTAGCCCCAATATGAAATGGCCGCCTCTGATATAAAGAACAGACGCCATGTGCAGCTGCTCCTAACATGGAGTACAGACATTGCTCATCCTGTATCCCAGGTTAAGGAGCCCTTACAGGGTATTATAAGCCGGGCCTGCTGAGCTCAGGTTTTTAACGAGCTTGTTATGGCTCCCCTCATAATTTTTCTTCCAGGCTTGGGACCAACAAAGGCAGAGTTGAATTTTAATATTCTTAGGACTATTTCCATTTTCAGGCTTTCATTGGTTTCCATTTTATAAATGCCTGAAACATAGCAGGACTCCTTATAGGGGCTTTCTTAATGAGACCTGAAATCCTTACACCTACTACTCACCTTTCTAAAGGCATCCGCCCACTTGGAGGTCAGAGTCTTGGCACAGGCAGGATCCTGTTTGACCCGCTCCAGGTAGCGGCCACTCAACTCCTGGCTATGATCTTTATTGCAGCCTTTCACAAAGGCTTCAAAGACATCAAAGAATTCTGCACAGAGACCAATGGAACTACATCCAGCCTATTTTATGAGATAGCAGTAACACATAAAATAGAGCAATGACATTTAAAAACCTTAACCTTAGTGGAAGCTGATTTTGAAGGTATTTCTAGTAATATATCTGTAAAATGGTACTTTTGTCTCAAATGTTTGAATTGGAAATGAAAATAACAGGATTCAATCAAGTGAATAATCTATGAAATTGCTTTCATCACCAGACCATAGACTGAAGATGAAAGTTGTAGCAATGTTGTTACTGAAATACTACAGAGTAATTGGATTTTGTCCAGTTACTTTTCTATATAAAGTCCATCAGTAGTATTTGTTGTAAAAGTTAAATTAATGAGAGAGAGATTGAGATTGAAACTACCTTATTTCAATTTTCTTACAAGATTATATAAGGTTATATACAAAATACAGTAAAACCCCTCTATAGTGAACCCCAATGGGACAGAGCTTTTGGTTCACTATAGCCACAGTTTAGCCATTTTTTAACTTTTCTAAATTTTTAGACTGTATAATTAAGAAACAGCTATACAAACAGGAAAAGGCAGCCACTTAATAATGATTACTTTGTTTTAATTCCCTAAATTGACCTACAGTGGACCCTCGGTTTACGAGCACCTTGGAGTACGAGCTTTTCGCAGTACGAGCAAAATTTTTTGAAAAGTTTTACCTCGGATTACGAGTGAAATTTCGCATTACGAGCAACTCGTGATGGTTGCCCGTAATCGTGATGGATGAAAATTCACTGGGATCCCTCCCTTCAGATCAGATTCGGGAAATATGTAAAATGTGGGAAACTGTGCAATTGTTCGTAGCAAGAAGAATTGCCCGAGTTTCAATTATTAAAAATAAGAAATTAGTTTCGCACTACGAGCGTTTTGGAGTACGAGCATGGCTCTGGAACGGATTATGCTCGCAAACCGAGGGTCCACTGTATTTCTTTACAGTAATGCTGAATATCAAAAGAAGTCATTTGATAATATGTTCTTATCATTAGCATACATGTTTATATATAAACCTATGTATTATTTAAAAATTATGCCAAATCCCCTAGGCAAAACATTATTAATTATATATTCGAAAGGTATAAGAGTATTTTAGAACATCTTTCTCAAATAATATAATACTAAATTTATTTGAAAAAAATGCCTCTAATACCTTGTTGTTTAAAAGTGAAAAGTAAAATTAGAAAATCAGAATTGTCTTAAAATATCGTTATTTCCATCAAAGGAATAAAGCTCCGTGTATAGATAAAGAATTCTTCCTGAATTGAAATTAGACGAAAAACATGGAAGGAAGACGAGTTTCTTTTATTGATGCATAGGTGAAAGCTTTCGGGTAAAAACCCTTCATTATAAGTCGCGCTTCATTGCTCGCCTGTTGAAGGGTTTTTACCCGAAAGCTTGCACCTATGCATCAATAAAAGAAACTCGTCTTCCTTCACCATGTTTTTCGTCTAAAGCTCCGTGTATTCTGAATCAATTGAGTATGAATCAAAAGTATCCAATTCAGAAAAATCGGACGCGAAACATGTTGACACAATAGCGGGATCGGTAAAATTGTGAATAAAAAACGCCAATTTGCAAACACCAAATCGGTAAGGAAACGGCCGGCCAGGGGGATATCCACGAACCCTGAATGAGTCATATACTTAACAAAAATTCCATTCTAAAAATAGAACTGTAGTGGTAGCTTTTGAGACTTTATAAGTAGATTTGTTTGTGGCCCATGAGACACAGTTTGGGGGAACTGTTTTTTTTTTTTTTTTCCTTCTTCTTCCAATTCCAGTTTCCACATATTCTTCTGAAGTGTATATTAAATTTTGTTTTTAACCTGTTATTCAAACCATTTCTGGCTTCAAAATTATTTGGAATTATTTTTTAGCCTAGGTTAAACTTGATATAGAACGCTTCTAAAAAGGCATGCTGTCACTGTTTTTTTTTTTTTTTTAGAGCGCCATTCTTTGTTTATTTTCTTTATTTTGGTAGCCATTTGTATTATTATTCTATTTTAAAATTGTCAAATGCAAATATATTCTATTAAATAAAAGTAAAATGTTTAAAAATTACACAACATACAGGAAAAATAGAATGGAAATGAAAACAAACAATGCCGCTAATTTTTTGTTTTGAAATCGCGATCCGTGAGCTGAAACATGCTCTAAATTTTGTTGTTTTAAAACTTTCTTTTTAAATATCACAATTTTAGTTCGTTATAAGCCTAGTATTTTTAATAGATTTTATCATTTTGGGACCGAAAATAGGTTTGTTATAGGGGTAGTTCGTTATTTTAAAAATCGCATAGTTCGTTAAAACGATGGTATTTTCAATGGAATGGAATCGGGAATCGCCGTGGGTTCGTTATAGGGGAAGGCTCGCTATATCGCGGGTTTGTATTAGCGGGGTTTTACTGTATCTATATTAATAAAATGGAAATTTCATAAGTGTTGTTCACTAAAAACTTTCGTTACAATGCATCAATTTCGACCAAATTTTCAACATTTATGTAAAACGAGATGGAGCAGGTTTTGCTTAACATCAAAATATTTTTCCTAATTTTAACATACATAACTTTGCTGTTATCGATAAAATACAAAAAAAATTCAACAGAGTTAAAGTGCTTACACTTTCAAAAGTGTTTACACTTTAGCGCTTCTTTGAAAATTAGTTTTAATCGTTTTTATATATATTTTAATAACTTTTATACATGGTAAGATACTTTTATTTTATAGTTTTCATATTTTATACCAAAAAAAGTTGAAGCCTTACTTGATGAGATCAATTTTATTTTTTAGATAAATTTTTAGGCTTTTCGAAAGTGTTTACACTTTTGAACTTCTTGGAAAATTAGTTTTAATCTTTTTATATATTTTTTAATAACTTTTATACATGGTAAGATACTTTTATTTTATAGTTTTCATATTTTATACCAAAAAAAAGTTGAGCCTTACTTGATGAGATCAATTTTATATTTTAGATAAATTTTTAGGCTAATTTGAATTTATTTCTTTTTTATTTTATATACAGATTATATATGCTATTTCTAACTTACGTGGTTAGTATTTTTATAAGACTAAGGTTATTTATATTATTTTTTACAAATAAAGATTGAAATTTCATTAATGTGCTCAATTTTATGTCTTTTTTGAGGACCTTAACAAAATTTTTAATTAATTGTTTAGATATTTTAATACCAGATTATTTATGGTGTTTTCCACTTATATGGGTTGTTTTGTAAAAAAAAACTTGGGTTATTTCTATTTTTTTTCACTAAAAAGCTTGAAATTTCATTAATGTGCTCAATTTTATG